TAACCATCATTGATAAGAAAAAGTTTGGGGATGATTGCTGAATCCATGTTTATTACAAGGAGAAATGGATATTTTAATCTTCCATTTTGTATTTAAAATTAATTGACTTTAAAATGAAAAACTGAGTCATGTTAGACATTTGATATCATCTTCCTTCCACATATTTTACTTTGAGGCTGATGGGACAGCTCTGTGGACTAGTCAGATTCTGCCAACACCCAATTATCACAACCATCCATAAGAGGCTCTGCTTCTGAGCTTGATTGCTTGCTTGCACACATTTCATTACCCACTATTCAACTCTCTGTTTCACATAGTCTCTTCTATTGAAAGCTTTTCCTTCAAACAGAGAAAACTATTTTATATTGTATGAACTGACAGCACTGCCAAAGATTTCTAAAAGTTTGAAATAGCCAGTGAGAAATTATACAAATATATATTTTTACAGCATCCACAAACAACCCAAGATTTACTACAAAATATTTTAAATAAATTAAGTTCAATTTTTTGTTTACCAACACTACAATGCTATATCCAAACATATCTGCACATTTTAGGATACTAAGATATATAATCGTTACCTCTCATTTAGTGCTTATAAAAATTAGCATCAATAAATAGAATTACATATAATTTTCTTTATATGGTTGAATAAGGTGACATTAATGAAAGATATACTGTTTATTCTGTACTGTGCTAAAATGCCACTTGATTATATAGCTTTTAAATAAATGTGGAAGACCATGCTAATCTGTTAATGGTTAATCTCAGAAGGTCACCACTATATACATTTCTTTTCCCTTTCCTCTTCCATATGTCTAAGAGAGAAATTAAATTTGTATATTATGCACAGCAACAAACACAGCGGTTGAAAGGACAAGGGCAGTGCATTCCAAGGTTAAAGATGGGATTTCCAAAAGCCCTATTATTCAACACCTTGGATAGCTACCAGTTAAAGATTCTAATATTTCTCTCCTCTGACAGACCTCAGTGCAAACTAATACTGTGTGTCTTAAAAGATATTACTCTCTGGTTTGTAGCAGCAAGTAAATTAATAAGAACAAAATCCATTATATCCAAAAATTATTATTCAAAATCCCAGTTGCCCTCAATCTATGCTCTTTTTTTTCTTCCCTGCAAAATCCTGATTTTCTATCATGCTGATAATAGCCTGTGTCCAAAGTATTGAGGAAGGTGGCTAAACATGCATGTATTATCATACAAAAGCAATTTTATGCACAGATCAGCATAAGCTATTCAATGGTGCATGATTCGACCAAGACCATATATATGTCTTTCCAAATTTCTCACAAAGCAGTGGGACTCAGGGATAGAGATTTGATTTTTTCAGAGCAAAAACAGCACACATTTCTAAACTAATATACATATATCTATATCTATATCTATCTATCTATCTATCTATCTATCTATATATATATATATATATATATATATATATATATATATATATATATATCTTAATCTGATTTTCTGGGACATTTCTGATTTCCTAATTTTGATACCTTCTTTTGTCATTTATCAGAAAGAAAGGTTCAAAGATTAATGAAGAACTCAGAGATGTATTGGGTAAATATTACATTTATTAGATGACCATGGCCTCTTGATGTGACTGATACCCACACAATTCAGTTAAGCCCTGGACCCCCAGACTGATGCCTATAACCACTGAAACTTTCTTTGGTGCCCACCATTACTGTCAGCCAATTGATCTAATTAAAGTTCTTTTGATTCTTAAAAATAAGAAGCTAGCATATCAAAAAGCAAAACATTCTCCTCAAGGAGAATACTTTTGAGTCCGAGTGGCATTCTTAAAAAATAATGTAGTTGTTAGCTAGAAACCAAAATTTTGTAGGATTGCTCACCTTTCCAGAAAACAATACAGAATATGCTAAGGAGCTATACAACATCTTGAAAAGGAGTTATGAAAGGGGTTCCATATAGAATCAACCTTGTGATCTCTCAAGTTTCCTCTTTCCGCTATGTATTCAAAATGGACAGTGATTAATATATACATAACACACATATATACATGCTATATACATATACACACCCATACACCCATACACACACACACACACACACACACACACACATAAATGGGATGTGTGTGCATGGGTGTGTGTGTATATGTATATAGCACATATATATGTGTGTTATGTATGTATATGGGTAGATATACACTTTGAGAGCAGGCAACAGAATTTCATTTTTAATGTGGGCCAGTATGCTCACAGTAAAAAATGACAATAAAGGTTATTTTATCTATTTGAGAAATTACATCATCAGTTTTACCCATGGTAATTTTTTAAAGATTGGTTATCCAAACCATTACAGCTATTTTGTTAGTGTCCCAAATATGTTCTGATGATTAGAGATTCATATCTTTCACACTGGCCTATATATGCGGAGCCTAATTGTATGTGTAAAATTGTACTCTATAAAGCACAGAATATTGTATGTGCTTGCCTATATATCTTGAAGAAAATTGGATTACTTGTACAATTTTAACTGTTGCACTCTATCACATTCTTGCTTTTTTTAAGCAGTCCAGAGAAGCTGTGTTGATATAAAGAAATGAATGACTAAATATATAAAATAAGCAGTCAGTTAATGTTCTAGGTATTTACCCATGTAAAACACTTTTCAGATATTATGTTTAACATATGTATTTGGGGTATACAGATCAACTCCAACCCAAACAAAATAATTGATTTAATTCAAATTACCAATCTAATTATTTCAATCTATTCAGAAAACTGAGTCAATTCCATTTGATTTTCTGGATTGATTAGGGAGGAAATTATTTAAATGGTTTTGAATCAATCTTTAATGCAAATGTTAAATGCACCAAAGTGGCTTCCCCCTCCTCCCTCCCCAACCTTCTGTGCTTAGAAAAGAGCATTTTGCATAGGGCTACAGTCAAGGTCAATCACGTTGTTTCTAATTTGGGCATCACTCAAAGAGTTACATGTAAATACTTTTTTTCTCACCTTTCAAAAGAAAAGTGTAGATTTGTTTGTCTTCTTTGGTCAGCTGGAGGGGAAATGATTACTTGCTACAACAATGAATTAAAGGAAGGGATATCTATAGTTTTTAGACATTAGTGGTTCTTGGTTTGTTGAAAAACAGCACCTATCAACTTTCTAATGCCATACAATAAGTGTGCCAGCAACCACCGGCTTTTCACTTCAGAGAATAAATACTTTTCAGAGAAAATAAAGTAAGGAGCAGCCCTATTATTGGAAAACGGGGATGACAGTAAAGTCATATTTCATCTTCCTTGCTTTCACTGTGAACAGTTTTTTTTTAATGCAGGGTCTAATATTAATATTGGATGAATGAATGGAATGGATTAAAAATTGGGGGAAAAAATAGTGAAATAATTTTACTTGTTAAGAAGAAGAGGGAGATTTTTAAAACCCCAAACCATCTAGCCTTCAAAACTGAAGGTCATAAGAAATAATATTATACAATGGTTACATTAGCAAACTGAGACTAATGAAACCTGGGGTCAAATACTGTCTCAGGGATAAATGAGGATGACCTTGGACAAGTCATCACCTAGCCAGTATAATCAACTTTGTAAGCTTCTTGTGAAAGTAAAATGGTGGGAAGCAATACATACTTTTGCTTCAATTCTTGAATAGAAGGCAAGATATAAAATGAAATAAATACATGGAATTTTTTAAAAAGGTATTGTTTTTTTTTCCCCTTAAAGCAAGGCTAGGTGAATCACGTTATCTGTTTCAGCAACATATTTTGAAGCTGATAGGAAGAAAAAATTAGCTTCTTGCCAGGTGCTTAAGAATAGTCTGTTCCATTGGGACTGAAAACTATGCAAATGAGCCAGCTTGCCAGTTCAAATCCCAAAGGTTATGGTAGCATTCTGAGAGTGAGTGTCATCACTGGTTGAGAACATGAATTGGAATCAGAAAAATCCACATTCAATTCTCCATTCAACAAGGAGTTCGGTGGTTATATTCTCCCAACTTGCTTAACCAAATCAGCTAAAAATTCCATTTTCTGTTTTTACATAGTCTATGCTTGGTTAATGATAAATTTGATCTTGAAATGTATTTATTTGTAAATTAGGGGCTATATGTGAACCCAACCTGTTAAGTTACATTCATGGATCAACGTATTCGCACGTAAACCCAGGAATGAATAAATAAATGAATACACTTAGTTCCCGGGACAAGCAATTTACCTGGGAAAAAGCCACTACTGCATGATTTGGGGCCAACAAATATTCAGCCTACCTTAGAGAATTACTGTAGACAGGAAATGATAGAGAACCTGCTTCACTTCTACCACGTTAATGTCTCAGAGGAAAGATGAGATGTAATTTTAAAATAACAGAATAAGTGTGCTGGGAACGTATTTAGATTATGGACAAGACTGCAATGTGTTTTCCAAAAAATGGAATTTGATTCTTGCTTTTGTGGGAAGAGAGAAGAAATGGAAAAGGTAGGAAGAAGCACTGTAATTTTCATGGCCCTCATCCTTCGCTTCTAGTTTCTTGGATGGTCTTTCTTCAGACAGGAATGAGTTCTGATGAAGAAAACTTTGCTAGGGATGAAGACTAACTAGCTCTCTGAGATTTTTAAAAAAGAAAGAAAGAAAGAAAACAGGATGTGCCTTTAGCAGAAGTCCCAGCATTTTTTCCACAATTCTCATCAGCAGTGATACCAAATTATTGGAGTGGGCTGAAGAGAGACAGACAATGCTGAATAAGGTGATAGACAGAATCATTTCATCCTATGCCTCCTCTTCTCTCTCAAGTTACCAACTCAGGGTGCCTACTTCTATGTTTGACATCCAGATATTGTTTGACAGCACCCAGCATCTAGTGGCACTTTCAAATGAGCAAATACGCCCCTTCCAGTTGGACTTGGCTTGCCCAGAGTTGGCTCTTGCCTGCTCAATCTCACCAGTTGCAAACCTGGTCTCTTTCTGCCGCCCAACCAAGCGCCCCTCACCTGAAGTCGCTGTACGGATGGATGATCCAGAATCCTGCAGTTTTAACCCTTTCCTGTTCCTTTTCCACTGCTTTCTGGCTGCCGAACATGCGGAGGGAGAATTTGTTGACCCCGGGCTGCAGCAAGGAAGTGAACTGCCGCTGCATGAAGCCGTACTGGCGCCGCGCGCCGTCGGCACTGTCGAAGTCCCCCATCGGTTCCTCAGCGCCGCCGTTGCCCTCCACTTTGAAACACACCGAATTGCCATGCTCCTTAAGGCTCCCACCGGCGCTCGGGCTGCTCAGCACCTTCTCCGCACCCGTCTTTGCCTGGGAGCAGGCATTGGTGCTGGGACTGCTCTCGTCCCGGCTGCCGGGCGAGGCACCCGGCTTGTTGCCCTCCATGGCACGGTCCGGCGCTCAGGAGAGCGCTCCAGCCTGTCCGGCTCCTCTCGAGCCGCCGGCGTAGGAAAAGAGAACGAACCAGCCAGACGAGCCGGCTCCCTCAGAACAGTGAGAGGAGGAGGAGGAGGAGGCGGCGACGGCTGGTCCTTCCCGCCCTTCAGCAGCGCTTCACTGCTCTGTGCCGCTCCTGGCATTGGCCAAGCCGGCAAGAGCCGCTTCTCACTCTGGCACCGACGGAGAGGGGCGGAGAGAAAAAAAAGCCGAAGCCTACCGCTCCGCGCCCTCTGCTGGTGAACGCTCCGCCCCGCCCCGCCCGGCTCCGCCCCTTCATCCCCTTCCCTCATCTCGACATTGAGCGACCCGGCGGAGCCCTTGAGAGAGAAGGGGCGGCCTTTCCTTCAGCCGGGCTGAAGCGGCGTTTTTCTTTTCCAAAACCGCCTCCCGATCGGTGAGGTGCTGGCGCTTCAAACCTGACCTGCCGGTGGCTTTGATTTGGATCTTCATTTATGAGTTCTGGCACTCGGTTTCGTTTAAAGAGAAAGAGTTACGGATCACACAGGGAAGCCGCGTGAAGATGTCCCCCAACCGGTCCCTCGGAACTGCAGGGACGCTGTGGGGTTCTTCAAAAGAGGGTGGCAGATTCAGAAGTGGCGTTAGGCTGCACAGCTGCCTTGCAAGGCAGGTTGACTGATTCATATGTGCCAGCTCGCACCCCCTACGTCGAGTTGTAACTGCTGGTGAGATTGAGCCTTCACAGATGTGTGAAAACACTAAAGCTCAGAGAAACCTGGTTTCACTTGCTGGCAATGCTGCTCAACCTTGGCAATTTGAAGATGTGTGGACTGCAACTCCGAGAATTCCCCAGCTATTGTTGAGCAACTTCAAGCTGCTAAGAAACACTGCTGGAAAGAGAAAGGACTAGAAATGTCTGCAACAAAGCCAATGTCAAGTTTTCCCAGAAGAATTCATAGGGGTGAGACCCGTTGTATCTTGGACAGACTGCCTGTGCAGTTGGTGAACTTTCCTTCATGGCTGATCTTGAAGGAATGTCTAGACACTGTCATATTTACAAATTCTTGCATCAACAAGATAACCTCCAAGGTCTTTTGCCAATTGTACAATTTCATATCACTCTGGTCATCTCAGACACAATGCTTCAGCCTGTAGTCTTCACGGTCACAATAACTGAAAGCTCCAAAAGAAATCTTCAATTTCTTTTGATGGTTTACAGGGGGGTGTTCTCTCATTTATTGTGATCTTGAACATCACAGGTGGGAGAATAGGCAGCATATTTAACATTGTTGTATCCTTTTCTGCTTCAGCTTACTGGTGAGATACCCAGAATCAGAATAACTGAATTAACCGCTATGAATGAGTATGGATTTAAACCATCTGGCAGCAACTAGCCAACCTTCCTATCACCAACAAATTAAGAAGAATCAAATATTGAAGCTAGAAAATCTTAGAGCAGGAAGATGAAAAAGCATTATGGAGAAAGTCAAAGGAAAACCTTTGACCCCTTACCCCAAAAAGTGATATAGCTTCGGAAGTCAAACTCAGTGCAGTCTTTACCGTAATTTTAACTCTTCTGTAATTTTAACCATCATAATGTATTTGCAGAACTTGTCATGTAGGGTAGAAAAGCTAGAGAGGAGTCAGGCCAGGTTTTGCTTTTAAAAGTAAAGGGGCCACACAGCTTCAAAAGATGGGTGTCCTCAGAGTATGATAAAAAAAATAAAATTGTGACTGCAACAATGAGATCAAAGTTCTACAACACACATAAGTTATGCAACACATCCAAAAAGAAGACAAAAGCTTTGATTGCGCTCTGGTGAACTTTATCATGACTTACCCTCCTGTGGGCACCCTTGCTTCACAAAGTAGCTTTGAAGTAGTGCTTTTTTAAACATGTTTTTGACTGGAAGTATCCTTTCAGAACTTCAAATGACTTTTATTTCTGTTCTACCTTTCTTTTTGCAAGGAATGGCACTTTTTTTTCTAACAATCCTGTAAATTATATCCACAGAGATTTATCCAAAATCATCCTGGAAATTGTGTAATTTAGTGAGGATTTGAGCATAGCTTTGCCCAGTACTGATCCTCTAATCCAGCAAATGATAGGCATACAGAAAACCTGTGAGCAGCACTATTTTACAATAATCTGCCAGAACATTGTGTACATCTCTCATTGCAATATTTTTTGCTATCCTATGAAGAAGCAAAATCAGGAATCTAACAAACTCTGCCAGGTTCCAATATAGTCATATTCTTTTTGGCCTCCTTATTTGCTTTTCAAGAATGAAATTACAATAGTATATATAGAAAACACAACTGTATTGCATAATACATGGTTATATCCCATTCTAAAAAGTCATTTAAAAATAATTGCTAACATATAAACATTTTGCTTCTTAGTGCTAGTACTATTGATCTTTAACAAAAGATAATTTTAAAACTGTTCCAATATTCAGATTTTACTATACCAGATCATAAGTTTACATGATTTGATATTTATATAAAATAACTGTTGCTTTAAATCTACAGTTCCATCATGGGAGATTTTGCTGTTACACTATTTCTGAAAAGAAGAAAAGAGATACTTCATGTCTACATCTACATGCTTTACAAGTATTATCTGTGCAGTTCTGTTAAAAGGGCTAGACATGATATAACATTACTGAAATCTGTTTTAGAAGCCTGGTTACAAAACATTCTGTCTCACTAGAGTTTGAAATGGTTGTCCTATTCCTTTTGTATGAGCCTAGAAAAACAGTGCTGAATCATTAGGATTATAGGGAGACACAGACACATATTCCTAATTCCACATGACACATGGAGATTCCTTCTTTGATACTAATCTGTGCTTGTGCCATTTAATGTTACTAATTGCTTTAGGGTGAGTAAAGACAGCTGGAAAATGACAGTTGTTTCTTAAGCAGAGGTCATCTACTTTAATGTTCAATGTAAAGGTTGAAATAATTGTAATTGCTACAATCCTGAAGCCACCCACGTAGGAATGTGCCTGGGAAAAATACAATAAGCTGTCCAGAAAGGATTCTACCTACCTCTAAACGAAAGTATATTTTATACGTCTGAAAATATCTAGTTAATTCCAACCACAACTGATTTTAAAATGAATGTGCATGCTTTGAACATGATTCAGTAGAAAGGTATCAAACTCACACAAGCAGCAATGACAGAAGACAAGTTAGCTATGTCTTTTTTCAGGATTTTGTGTCTGTCTAAAAGAAGATGCAGTTGCTTTAATAGTTGCATTAGGCATTGCATTAAAACAGATTTACACAGTCTAAAAAGGATATAATTGCTTTAATTAGTACAGAGGTCCTGCATTTGCACACTTTCTGAAAAAAAATTCTTCTAAATTATTTTTTGCTACAGCCACTGACCAAAATTCCATTTGCTTTTTACTGATACTATTTTATTTGGTTTAAATTTAATTTATTACTCTATTTATTGCTTACGCTCTGTCTGAAACTAAGGAACCTATATACATGACCTAAATATTTTGGAAATAGACAGATTTTGATTTTCTGGCTGAGAAGAACATCTCTTCCCCCCCATGCCCCCAAATACTAGGAGCAACTATAAATATCAAGCACTAGCTATGGATTCAGTCTGTAAGTTACATCTTTAAACTCAATTTCTACTCTTGATGGTGTTTAATAAAAAGATTGGCAGCTATGGATTATATATTAAAGTGCTAATTGAATCAAGAAACTTGGTTGAATGTAGGATTGTAAAAAATGATGTGCAAATGCTTTCTCAATGAAACTGACTAGATGATTTTGGATCAGTCACTGTCTTTTAATCCAAGCTTCTACATAAAGTTGTTTTGAAGAAAAATGGGAAGAAGTGTTGTAAATATTATTTTTGAGTTTCTGGAGGAAAAGTTGGATAAAACTATGAGGAATAAATAAATATTGAATTGCATCTTACAGCAGGAATTATGAAACAAAATTTGAAATTTGAAACATTTTTTTGAATATTTCTATTTGCCACTATATTGGATGTATATAACAAATCTGAAATTTCCCAGTTACATCATACTTTTAAAAATAAAAGCTTATTTCTGCAATATATTATCTTATTAGTCACCTTACTCCACTAATTAAGATAGGAATTGGTGAAGTTGACCAAGCATATGACTTATCTGTGGTGATAAGGGCAGCAATGCCGATTTCCACCTCTTTATTGAATCTGCAGAGAGCCACCAACAATCCTAATTTGGTGACTAGGTCCCTCCTAGGCATTGCTTTTTTTGTTAAAAAAAAAGAGGTGCTGGAACTCACATGTCATACAATCCGCCTTGCCTACCCTACAAGGTTCCATCCAAAAAAGGTGCCAGAATTCCGTTCTGGGTGTTCTATGACAAAAAAAGCCCTGCTCCTAGGTAGGAGAAGTTATGGAAATCCTTGAGGGCTGCTATGAAGTGTATTATCAATGTCTGTTACACAAAGTTGTTTGACTTCGTTTAGAGTTGGATTCTGACTGGGCCTGTTTTCCTAAGGAGATGAGGTCCCAACAGTTGTGAGTTTGGCCATTTGCCTTCATGATTAGTTAAGATCTCCCTGGAGGGGGCATGTGGATGAGTCCAAGCAGTGATAAATGCCTCTTTGTAGAATGAGATGGTACTGCTTGCTTTGAAGGAAGTGAGGGTATTCTTGGGCAAACAGTATTGGACAACTTCCATCAAGCCTCAAAAGAATGGTTGGTGTTCCCTTACAGAGCACCCTGGATGAAGCATATTAACTGGATCTTTTTCAGCCTGTATTTAGGCCATGTTACATTACTGAGATAGGATTGATTCCTGCCTAGCAGAGGGTTGGACTAGATGACCTCCAAGGTACCTTCCATCATCATCATCATCATTATTATTATTAATCATTGCACAGTCAGCCAGATGTTCAGACTGGATTTGGCATTTTTGTCTACTTATCGAGTCCTTACCATGGATCTGGGATAGGCAGATGTAGATGTTT